ACTCTATTGTTCGGTTATGGTACGACGAAGTCTTTATGAAAGAGGCCCGTAAGGGACCCTGCGTTCCCTGGCAGCAAAATTACGCCCGCTGGCAGCACACAACACCTGTCAATCATGTAACGGTCATGATTGCTCTTGATACAATGAACAAAGATCGTGGAGCCCCTTGCTTGGTTCCCGGAAGCCACCGGTGGCGAGAGGGCGGATTGCTTCCTTCTGTTCCCTACGATCCCGCCAAGGACGAGGCACAGCAGTTAAACACCATTTGGGAAATCACCAACGAGGAAGAGAGCGAAATGCTCATGGACACACCTCCAGCGACGGTGGACATGAAGCGCGGCGAGGCCCTTCTCATTCATCCTCTGACACTTTTCGCTACGCACGGAAATCGCTCGCTGGACGCCGTGCGCTGCTGTTTTATACATTACATGGGCGGTAAGACGTACGCAACCCAGAACGGACCGCTGCTGCCACACACCACTCAATTCCAGGCGGGCGCTATGATTCAGGGGCCGTTCTATCCGGTGGTTTTCGACCCCGCGATGACAGAGGAGCTGGCAATGTTGCCCGGGGAATCCGCGGCACAGAACGACATCACCGAAGAGGTGTAGCAACGTGAGAGGCTCCAACACATTCTTTTTTTTTCTTCACTTATTCGCCTTTCTGCCATTGCCTTGATTTGGGGGTTCTGATTGGAACTCCGGCTGTGCCACAATTCAAACCCTATAAGAGCACCCGGTGCCGCATATGTTTCTTCATTTCACACGTTTCTTTTTTTTTTTTTTTTTTTCGGCGGAGCACCACGCGCTAGCCGCGAATAGCGTTTTTGCTTCCACCCCGCGCACGCTCCCTGACATCGACGGCACGTCCACCACAGCGTCCGCCAAAAAGGTCACACCAACGTAGCACACCACCGACGTCCCGAGACCGGCGTTCAACTCCACACCCACACGCACGTCCCGCACGCACAAGTCCGCGCCGTCGGTGCTCGGTGGCTCGGGAACAGCAACGGGCAGGCACGCATCGCCGTGGCCGCCCTCAGCGCACGTGCAGGCGCAGCCATCACTCAAGGCCGTCGTCGTGTACGCGGGGAAGCACAACGCCGCGAGGGTGCATGGGTCGCTGCAGGTCAGGACGGTGGCGTTGTACACGGACGGGATAACGTATTTCGCTTCCTCCACGCCGTTCACACTGTTGCACGCGGCCAAAATCGCTCCGTTTGTGAGGTCGCTAGAAAATGAGGGTATCTGCAGCATTGTTGGCGTGACCGTGCAGGACATGAATCGGTTGCCGGACACGGACACCATGGAGTCGCGGAGGTTCGCCTCGGGGCTCAAAACAGCAAAAGCACCCACTGGGGACACGCGGCAGACGTTGCCGCTCAACTGCAGCCAGGAGTTGTAGTAAATGTAGGAAGAGTGGCTTGAAAAGAAAACAGCCGAGCTTCCTTGCATGTCGTTGTCCCGAAAAACAACCGCTGACTGGGACTCCACACAAAATACCCAAAGAAACAGCATGAAGTACTGCACCGGCCTCGTCACAACGTTGCCTCGGATCACCACAGCAGAGCTGTTCAGTACACACAGCGACAAGAATTCGGTATAACCTTCAAGATGTATCAGCGTACTGTCGCCGCCAGTCATGTGAAACACGTTGCCCAACACCGCAAACACGGAGTGCCACATCACCCTAAGCGCATATTTGACAACTTTAATGGCGCTTGACGACGTCGCCACGGTCTGAAACACATTGCCAGTAAACACCACCGCGGAGTCGTTGCTGATCGCCAGCTCATTCATCGCAACACACGACGGTCTGTCAATGACCAAACCCAAACGAAAAATCAGCCTCGTGACCGTGAAGCGGTTCCCGCTGACCGTGATGTCTGTGTGCGGTGGGAACCCACCCTCCGGGCTAAGCAACGCGTCATGGAACGTGTTGCCGGTAACGACGATTTTCAGCGACCCCACAGCGGCGTACGCATTGCCCAACAGCAACAGCACGGCGCCGTCCCTCCACGTGCATCCATCGAACGTGACGCTCGCCACGTCGCCCGTCATCCCCCCAATCAGCACCGTCAGGAACATCCCACCCCCGCTGAACGTCACGTTGCGGTAGCACAGCCACGACAGCCCGCTGCCCACAGTCTGCGCCACCTCGGGGTACTCCATGTCGCTGATGCACTCACCAACCGGCGGCGGTGGCGGTGTGGGCGGCACTGGTGGCGGCGGTGGCGGCGGCGGGCCAGCAGGCACAGGCGCCGGGACGCACACATCGCCGTGTCCTCCTGCAGCGCACTGGCACTCGCAGTCGCTGACCGCCGTCGTCAGCGGTGCAAAGCAGTCGCCGTCCTTCGTGCACTCCCCGCACGCAGCAACCGTCGTCACGTTGGTGATGCCGTTCAGCTCCAGTTCTGCCGCCGTCGTCACCAGTCGTCCAAGAACCGTCAGACACCCAGCAACGAACCGGTAGCCGTCCCCAGCCTGCGATAGCAGAGGCCTCGACAACCCCGTCGAGCCCATATTGCAGCCCGTCAGCGTCACCACACTGCTACTGTCGATTCTAATACTAGCATCAAGCAAAAAAAACTGCAACATCGCACCCATTCCCACATCGTTGTCGCGCCAATCCAACCAGCTTGACTCCTGGACGCTCCAAAAATTATATGCGTAGATGGCGCAGGCCACGATACCGCTGTTCCCCACCACGCGCAACACGCTGTGATCCGACACGCTAACTCCGTGGTGCTGATACAGGAAGCTTGTCCCGGAGGCCATCGTATTGTTGAGCAGCGCAAAAACGGAGTGGTCACTCGCACTGAGGATGTACACGTACAACAGATGCATGTACCCATCAAAGCTGCAGTACCGCGCGTAAAGCGAGCTGCCACCCACCAGCGTCAGCGTACCGAACGAGTACAAACCAAAACCACCGTACCTCAAGGCATGCGCCCTGACGTTGCTGACCAACAGTGAAGAAGCAGTCAACACAACGTCGTGCAGCAACAATACGCTACACATGTTGTTCACGGTGTCCGGCAAATGGACCGCGGATGACTGCACCACGTCAACCTCCGTGACGGCGATGTCGCAGAGCTGCGGGAAGGCAAGTGCAAAGGCGACAACGGAGGACCGCATCACCGTCTGGCTCACACGGATCAGGACGCCGGCTGACTCGGCCGCCTCAGCACCCCCAACAAACTGCAGCGCGGCACCCTCAAGAAATGTGCACCCAGTGATCGTGATGTTAATGGGGAGATGCAGCGGCATACTGTCAAGAAAAAACGTCAGCACAGCACCCACGCCGCTGAATGTCACGCCCACGTAGCAGTGGTGCGTCTTCCACATGTTCAGCGTAAGGCTCATCAGCGTCTGGTTCACCACGCAGCTCGTGTCGCCGTCGACGGCTCTCTCCGGCAAGGGCGGCACAACCGTGTCGGGCACCTCGAAGGGAAGACACGACGCGCCATGCCATCCGTCCTTGCAGCTGCACGAGCACGAGCCGCGGTCCACCGACTCCGTCCCGGGCATGTAGCACGCCGCGTCGTCGTTGCACGTGCCGCACCCGAACACCACCACGCCCTCCGGAAACACATCGTCGTACGACGCCTCATCGCCCTGCGGGTTGCACCCAACGACCAACCGCGCAGGCGGCTTCACGACAATGCTCGACGCAAAAAGGTTGCAAAAGACAATGCTCCCGTCCACCTGACGGTTGTGTGCGAGCGCCACAGTAGTGCCGCTGCCCGACAAAAGAATTTCGTGCAGGGTATCTTCCATAGTTATTAGGGAGGCTGCGCTCACGCTGTTGCCCTCCACACGCCACTGCGCACCACCCTGAAGTGTCACAGAGCCTTCCAAATACAACAGCGCGGGAAAAAAAGACCCCGCTCTGCCAAAAAGAGTGCAGTCCGCCACTCTCAGCAGCCCCGCGGAGCCCACGTTTGTATCCCCAAAAAAATAAATGCCATTAGCCGAGCTCATCGTGTTGTTCTCAACGTCAATGTAGCCGCCCTTCATCACATCAATATTTCCAACAAAAGCGGCCGTCTGCACTTCGTCCTCATCCGCCGTTGATAACAGCGTGTTTCCCTTCACAATGATTCCGCCACCATCAACAACAGTGTCGGATATATAGACTGCGTTATTATTCCCCTCGATGCGGTTTTCAATTAGCAACAGCGTCGAGGTCGCACCGAGAAAAAAATCCGAGAAGGCAATAGCGTAGCTCAACGTCGACACAATCGCACTGCCCGCCACCATTATCTGGGATCCAGTGCCAAAATAACCCCTGAACTCCAACTCACCAGAATCCAGCATCGAAGATGTCACGCTCACGTGCACACGCCCACCACTCCCCCTGACCGACAGGCCCACGAGGACGCACTGCAGCAGCGTAATGTTGAGTGTCTGCTCCGGTGCGTCGAAACGCGAGAGGTCCAGCACGATCGCGGCGGTGAAAGTCACGTTGACAAAGCACAGACCACGCACACCGGGATCAGGATAGTCCACGGAGCTGATGCTGCCACCGTGCACGCAGCGGACCTCCGTGTCCTTCGCATCTGAGAGCGGGAACGGTCCAAGGCCGTCCGGAACCGCAGCTGGTAGACAAGTGCCACCGTAGCCACCAGCAGCGCAAACGCACTCACAGCCGCTGATGCCGCTCGTCCTCGCTGCAAAGCACTCGGCGTCCACAGTGCACACGCCACAGTCCAACACCGTCACGGGCGTCCCAATATTGAGGTCTTCTCCGTAATCTGTCACATGAGAGCCTTTTGCCTCGTTGCACACACCGTAGATGGTCAGGCGCGAGTCGGATGGTGGTAACCACTTGCTTGTCATACGTACAATGGATGACGAGTACGAGCCATACGTGAAGTCGTTCTGAAGTATTGACCACACACTCCGATCGCAAAACGCAACGCCATTCTCGTCGGCCACGTACAAAACGTAGGCGGTGCGGAACTCGTTGCCGCGGTGCACGAGCCAACTGCCACCAGTCACGGCCAGCACGTTTGTGATGAGCATGGCAAAGCCGAGACGGAACGTGCCGGACACAACCTGCAGCACGCTGCCGCCATCCACCGCAACGTCCTCAAACACACACGCACCTTTGTAGTATTCGATGCTCAGCGCGCTCCATGAGCTGTTCTGTATGGAGAACACGGAGCCGCCGCTGACACGCAGGTCCGACGCAAGAGCGTACATCACGTACGTCTCCGAAATAACAGCGCAGTTGTCCATGTAGAAGACGCTGGACAGGTTCACGCCAAGGCCGCGCTCCACGAGGAACGTAGCGCACGAGGCGCCGCCACACACCAGCGTCGACCGCGTCATGACAAACCGCGTCGACAGAAGCCGGACGCCGTCCAGGACAAGCGTGGGGCCACACCTCAATCCCGCATGGCCAGGTGTCGTCGGCACGTACCGCGACCCGCCAACTGTCGCACGCAGCGTTGAGTTCGCCATCAGCACACTCGAGTGCAGCGGCATCGCGCCATGCAGCACGACCGTTCCCTCCAGCAACGTCACGTTCGTCATGTTGACGAGAGCGCGGGGCATCAGGCGCGCCGTGCTCTCGCTGAGGCCACCAATCCGCAGCCGCACACCGCCCGCAAGCACGCAGTGTCGCAGCGTCACGTTCAGCGCGTCAGCGAACGCATCCATCGAGCGCAGGTCCACCGTCACAGTGATTGACCCGCTGAACACCACCGAGTCGAAGCACGCCGTCGCACGCCCACCGCCAACCGTCACGGACTCCGTCAGCGTCACGCCACTCACGCAGTCCTGCGAACCACCACCGGCCCTCGCAGGCGGCACGTCGAACGGCAGGCACGCCTCGCCCACACCGCCGGCGCGGCAGCTGCACACACAGTCGGAGAACGAAGCAGTCAGCGCATCGAAGCACGCCAGCGCAGCCGCACAGCCGTCGCACGGCACCACGCTCACGGAGGGCAGGCCGGCAGAGCGGTAGTCGCCGCTGCTCTGCAGCACCCGGCCGCCAGCACGGTTGCACTGCACCCACACGGCGCCGCTCGTGATCGTCGGCCCGGAGAAGAGCGTCGCGCCGGCGGCAGTGCAGCGCGCAATCGACACGGTGCCGCCGCTCAGCGTAACCCCCGACAGCGACGCCACAGACGACGCCTCACCCACCGCCCACACGTCGCGCAGCTCCAGCCACCCGCCGACACCGACCGTCCCACCGTCGCAGCGCACCAGCGACGACGCAACAGACCCCTCGACGCGCACAAAGCGCAGCACCGAGTCAAGCACCGCAAGGCGCTCGCCAAGCACAATGCCGCCGCCGCTGCTCACAACCGAAACGTTCGTCACAGAGAACACCGAGTGGTTACGCAGACTGAGACGCGACGAGGACGCCACATGCATCGCGGACGCCGTCTGACCACCCGACGCCTCCAGCGACACGCCGTCAAGCACTACCGCGCTCGACAGCAGTTCCGCGCCGCCGCCAACGTACACCGCCGACCCGCCCGCCTGCAACGACCTCAGCACAGTGCTGCTCACACGCAGCTGCGACTGCAACAGCGACGTCGCGTGCAGCACAAGCGGCGACGCCACCGCGTTCGTCAGCCCGCTCAGCTGCGAGTAGCGCATCGGCCCCGGCGTCACAATCGTCGAGTCACGGACCGTCACGTTCGTGTGTGCCGGCAGGTTGTGCACAAACACAAGCGAGCAGTAGCCCCCAGACAGCCCGCTCACGCTCACCTCCAGGCTCCGGTCACTCGCCGGCTCGCCGCTGTGGCCCCGCACGTAGATCTGCGCACCGCCGTCGCACACGCAGTTCCTCAGTTCGATGCGCAGTGTGCCGGGAAGCATCGCCGCAACGTCGAACACAACAGCCACGCCGTTCGTGATGGACACGCCGTCCATCAGCACCGTGCCCACGGCGCGGCCAACCGTGATGGCTCTGTCCACCGTGCCGCCCCGCAGTCGCAGCACCACCGCATGCACCGCGGGCATCCACGCCGCCGCAACCAGCGCCAACACCACGAGCAGCGCCACACGCACGGCCGCAATGACCCTGCGCCGCTCGCGGTGCCGGCTGCGCGGACACGCACCCACCGCAGACCACATCCACCGACCAAAACAGTTACCAACAGAGCTGTCGCGGTGTGTCGCACTCGCCCCGTCGACCATTCCTCTTGCTTAGCAAATCCCTACCTAAAGATGGCAAATCCAGAAACACAATTCTGCCAGATCGTTATCCCTCTAATACCATTCCTAATACCGCAAGTAATGCCTAACACCTTGAAAAGGTAATTGCGCTGGTCAAGCAAGGGTATCTCTAACTGTTTGGTCAAAAAAGAAAGAGGAATCAACAATAGTAACCAAACACAGTGGCGCGCAGAAGCATCCGGCCGCAGTCAGTCCCCGCCAATGCACAAAAAACGACAGAAAAAAGCTCAGACACAACCACGCCAGTGACACCATCGCCCTCCCACCGCCAACGCAGCCTCACACAACCACCATGACGAGTGGCGCGATCCCGGAGAAGAGGCACATGACCATTGGCATATCGCTTTTGCCCGAACAACTCCATCGCATGGCAACCCCGATGCCTTGAAATACAAACAAGGGCCGAGACAGTACCACGTGGCGACGTTACAACCGCATCCATCGAGCGCGCAAAAGAAAGCGCTGGTGGCACAAAAAGACGTAGAGAGCGTATCTTCTGCCAACAAAGAATGGCTGTTTCTCGCTTACGCAATTCGGCGTTGCACGACGAACAGCGTCCAGGCATATTGCGCGCACACGGCATACACAGAAAGGGAAAGCGGAAGACGAGCAGCCAGACACAGGGGAAAGGATCCACACCAATTGTTGTTTTTCCTCGCGTCAGGCCAATTTCCTGCACGCCAACAAACATCACTCCCAAAACACGTCGAGAAGTGACACAGCGGGCTCCCACAATCCCTCCTCGCAAGGCACCGGTGCCTGGCAGAACGTGAGAAAGGCCACCCACGCCACAAACAGCCACTCGCTGCTGCAGCTACAATGCGCCGTGTGGACCGCACACAACTCTCCGCATCATGCGCGGTCGTCCCCACTCACGCACATCATCGCAGACGTGTCGCAGTCCACAACAACGGGTACAGCGAAAGGACCCACTGCGCTACCCACAGCTGAAGCGTCGGTGCCGCACACGCACAGCGCCCACTACAACAACAGCGCATCAGCAGCAACTCTCCGGCGAGCGGCACAGTGCTGGGCATCAAGCGGACACTCACACATCCGCACGCACGCCGCAGAGCCTCTTGTATTGACTGCGTGGCCTAGCAGCGGTCGCAAAAAAGCTCACAAATGTACTCACAAGCAACGCCACCCACGTCGCACAGCAAGAAAGAGCCATGCGCAAACCATCCGCTCCCCTCCGAGTGCACCCAGCCACCCCCGCGTCATTGCAGAGAGGAACACAAGTAGCCGCCCTCGCGGACCATCGGTGCCTCTAGCAGGAAATAAAAAGTAATGGCGCATGTCAGCAGCAAAGCCGGCAGAGGAACAATCAACGGAACTCGGTGACACAAAGTAGAAGTGGAAGCGGCAGAAAAAAAAAGTGAGCCGCAGTGCTTTGCAGTAGAACAAGCTCCAATGGAAAAAGATTCAAGCAGTACCCCAAGGAAAAAAAAAAAGAATAAAACAGAATTACCCCAGCAGATAATTTTATTTCGCGTGTCAAAAAGAATAATAAGACTGTGTGTGTATGTGCGCATGAGTATTACCTGCGCAATGAAAAAATAGATCGCCCTGCTGCACGAGCCCACGCGCCCAGCAAATTTAATGCGGCATTCGGCCTTGTCTTCGACGCGTCAGCTTTGCCATCCGTGGGACGCACGGCAGTGAACTCTCCATCGCGTGGAGGCAGAAAAGAAAGGGAAACAAACAGGGAAACCCGTCACTCATGGCAATTTGTATGGGAAACGAGTATTGGGGCAAAAAAAAAAAAAAAATGGAATGCCGATTATCCCACAAAAGCACCAGTGGAAAGAAAAAGTAAAAATGAGATTAAAAAAAAAAAAAACTTTCCCTCCCAACAAAAATAAAAAATAAAAAAGATTCCTCAAGGTGCAAAAAATAGCTCCGGGAAACAAAAATTTGTCATTTCCCATGAGGCCTCGCAAATTCATCCCTCCCTTTTTATTCAAATGAGAGCCGTCATTCCCCACAACCCCAGCAGAAAAAGCAGTAATACGCGAGTCACACATCCATGCACGGTGGTGTCACCGTTTCCTCCATGGAGTCTCAAGCCAGTAATGTTCCAGAAATTAACTGTGCAGTCACCAGAGGACGGTGCCACATCGTGCGTTCAGCGAATCGCATCCGTTTCAAAGGTGGTGCTTTTATTAGCCTGTGCAGTGTCAACTCCCTTTGTCGACCCTCCTTATCGTTTCCAAAAGGAATTTCAGCTGCACCAGACTAGGAATTCTTGGGGATGCCCTTCGTGGAATTCCGTTCGGCGCCATTGTGTGGAGCAGGACTGGTATCTAGACCCACTGTTGTCTCGCGAGCAGCGTCCTCTTCTTTGAGGTCAGTCGTGTGCTTTTCACTGCGGGCTTCAGGTACCTGGGACGGCACATCTTCACTCTCAGCCGTAAGCGGATTGCCTTGCCGCAGTTGGCGCACAGTGGCCTCTTGCTGCGGCGACCTCGATTCACCATCACCAGTCGGCTCTTCTTTCGCCACCACCTTCCCTTTTCCTTCTTTTCATCTTTCGTCGTGGAAGAGATATGATCCCCACAGGATAATCCAGCATCAATGAGTTCATCGCTTTTCGTTGCCGTTGCAGGCAGTGTTTGTGCATTTTTCTTTTTTTGGCTCATTCGTCTTCGTCGGTTCGCAGTTGTTCCTCTGCATGTATTGGGAACTTGGGTGCATAAAGTGGTGGTGAATTTACCGTTTCCTGGGTGAAAGTATTCCCAGAAACAGTTTCCTTAGTGCCCTTCTGCCTGAGAAACAGACCTCGTAACCGCGGATGGATACACTTTAGGCACAACAACATCGTTAACGGAAATTGCCTCAGAGATCCGTTCGGAGGTAGCCTTCAAAGCACCGCCGGATACCGTCTGATCCTCCAACTCTGTGTTTGATTAGCCAGCAGCAGCTGGTATTGGAAGCGTGTCTTTGCCGACTGTGATTCTCTCGATGTCTTTCTCCGCCAGTTCGCGGTTGTACAAAAAAAAAAAAAAAGTTGCGCACCGTCAAAGGACTGCTCCCTCCCGTCATCCTGCTGTTCCCCACCAATGTAGAATTCCGTGAGTTCCTACTCGAATTGAGCAGAAAGCCAGAATAGACCTCTTAGTAAATAGCCTTCCCACCAACACGTGCACATAACATTCGTCGCTTATACCCATTCTTACGGCCACCTGTTACGTTGTGTTTGATGTTCCCAAATTACCGTCATCATCGTCTGACAATGCCGGATTCCTACCTGTCAATTTTACTTCGCACTTCCTCTCCTTCGTGTACAACAGGTGCAAGAGCACAGTACTGCTGCCCTCCTTTGACACACCATGGTTGATCGCTGTCGCCAAAAGAGTAGAAATGTTGTTCGCAAATTTACACAACTGTTTATGCGCCATTTTGCCGACAAGCCACTCATCTCCTGCCCAGCAAATTCGAACGTCACACCCCGCTCCGCGCCTGCCAATGCCCCATGAAAGGCTGCGTTCACGCAGAGGTACTCGTCCCTCCGCTCGGTACCGGTTACGTTACAAAACAGCCAACAAGCCCTTTGGTGGGAGCAGGACCATTAAGCACACCCTTTGTACGCAGACCAACCTTGCCGTTGGAATTGCGCTTCCGTGGGGCGGTGTTCACTTCCTTCCAGCTCCTCACCATATCAATTATCCAATTCCTCTGCTCACTCAGGCGCACAGAGGCAAGAATGTATGACACTCCATCAGACCTCTTTTCGAACAATGAAATAAATTCGTTGCCAACGCCATAAAGCCTGGCACTGGAAATAACGCCACCACCCGCAATAAATTTTGGAAGCAATTTCTTTTTTTTTTTTCTGCTCTTACCAGTCGTAGTAACTACACCTCCAATGTGCAGCTCTGGTAAGCGCCGATGGAATTCAGCAGCGGATAGAAATACCGCTCCGCGGGCAGCCATGTAAATGGCTGCATCATGTGCCCTTCCGACCCATTTGTGCGGCGTCTGCCACCTCTCCGCGCGCTGCGGATGAGCAGCGGGCGCTTGGCTTCCTCCCTGGCAAAGAGTGCTAGACCCCGGCACCACGTCGAGGTGGCCGGCTGCGCCAGGGTGGGACCAAAATCCTAAAGTCGTTGCACGTCGGTTGACAAAGTTGCATACAAACTTTTGCTTCGCCTTTTTTGTCCGAATACGCTGACGTGGTGAGAAGTATACCCCGCCTTTCCACAAATTCTGCACTAATGAAACCTCTCTGACAACAGTATTCTCCTCCACCAGTATACTTACCAAAGAAAAAAAAAAAATGAAACATCTCACCAACCCATAACAAACAAAACTGAGAAGAATTCTCTCATGCCCCAAAGAAACAGTGCGCGAGATGTCTTGTTTTTCCAGCCATTTAGCAGATAAATTCTATGGACCGCACTTGGCACGGCAACGCGTGCCCCCGGACACCATGGGGCTGTAATTTGACCCGGCAACACGCGGCTGGCTTGGGCGCTGGTGGATGCCGCCGGCCCTGTGCCAAAAACAGCGCCATGAGGGAAACATTGCTGGCTCTTTGCTTCCCCGACAATACTGGGTCCAATTGGCCGTGGTGGCACGCTGGGGCGGCCGGCATTGCCAGTGCGTACGGCTACCGGCGGCATCCACCGCAAAAAAAGCCCTCCGCGAGAGCACGCGCCAACCGAAGACGCCACCAGAAGCGGAGCGCGCGTCCGCACTTCTCTCGGGTGGAACCAGCAGCGCCCCGCACAGCGCAGGGTGCCGCCGCAAGCCCGTCCCCCGTCCGTCGTCTGCTTCTCGTCCGCCCGCGCCGCAGCCGTGAAGGCCCCTCGCTGCTCGCGGCGCTCTGTGCGTCCAGGAGCCCACCACAGCAGCCCCTCCTCTCTCCAGTCGGCGGACTCGGCACAACACACTCGCATGGGCGCGGGGAGTGCGTGAAGGAGAGAGCCCCGCGGCGTCCTCCTGTGGGAAGCCGCACTCGCCAGCTCGCAGTCGCCCACACCGTGGCACGCTCCACCGGCGCGCAACCGTCACACGGCTCGTGCAGCAGCGCCGCCCCTACACTGTGCACACTGCTACAAGAGAACACGCGGGGAAGAAAAAAAGGGGAAGCCGCGCCATCAACAAGCAAGGGGCGGTGGGCCGTTGGCTTTGTCGTGCCCACGGGCGCACCAGCGGCGGGGAGGGCGTCACGGCACGCACTCTCCCACACACGCCGGGAGCCTCACCACCAGCACTGGCGGCAGTCGCACCGTGAGGCGCTCCGTTCACAAAGACACCACACGAACGCACGAGAAGACAGCCCCAAGTCCTCCCAACCACAAGCACCCACCGCGAGATGAGGGCTCAGGCGTGGAAAAGGCCGGAGCAAAAAAAGAAACAACAAATCCCATCCATCCCCCAACCGCAAATAAACGGTATAATAATATGAGAACAAAACAAAACCATATACATTGTTCATTGGTGGCCCGGCCCGCACACTCACATCCACGCCACGTGCTCCCAGCGGAGGCTCGTCAGCAGCCCAACACTACGGGCGCCCACCGCCTCCACCACAGCGCTCCGCACGCAAGTCAAGGGCAGGGAGTGGCACGCTCCACAGGGGCACGGGGCGGTCAATGACACATTTCACGTCATTCGGCCGCAAAGTAAATAGAGAATCAACTGGGGCACACAAAATAATTATACAATACATTCAGAGTAAATAAAAAAGCATCTCCTTCATATATCAATCGCACACGGGATATATTACGTCCTCTGAGACCCGTGACACACGGGCGGCAGGCGAAGTGTCGTTGCCAAAGCGCGCCATCAGCGCAGCGTAGTCGTCCTCCCGCACGTGATGGACACACATCGAGGTCGGCAACACCTGTGAGTGCCCCGTGACACTACGGGCGTCATGGAAATGACACGGCAGCACCTTGACGTATATCATTGGCTGGTACTTTATTACCCTCTCAAGAACCCACCCAACCATCATGTCCTCGCGGTGAAACCGGAGCAGTGCAAACTCTTCCTCACGTTCCTTGCTGTACGGTAGGTACGCCAGGCGCCGCAGCGGCTTGTACGAAACCAACGCCTCCGCCGCATCCCTCGACAAGGTGTAGCACCAGCCAACCATAAACGCGCTACCTGGTAAACCCCTTTTCACAAAAGTCGAAAGACCCATGTGGCTTCCCATGTAGATCCCTCGGCGCGGCAGGAGGCGCAGGTGAGCAACAAACAGCGGCACACGAAGAAACATGTCGTCATCGCCCTTAGCGATGTACCCCGCTGTCGGGAACAGGCGAACCGCAAGGTCAAACCACATGTACGTCTTGCGCGTCATACCTATCTCCGCCTCATCGCCCCAGGAGCCACCGCCACAAATCTTTTTCTTCGTCGCCACACGGCCCTCTTTCATTGGCAGCGCAACCACATCGTTCCACTGCGCCGCCTCCTCCAGCAGCGCGGCAGAGTAGTTGTAGCCGTGCGACGGGTGTCGCCCAAGAACATACAGCACGAGCATCGCACCGGTGAAGTCGTTCGCTCTCGTCGCCACACCGGGGAACCGCCAGCAAGTCGTCCGCTGCAGGTTGCGTCGTGTTCGCCTCTCTTCGTTGTCCGGGGAGGGAATGCCCAGCACAACAAGGTACTCCCGCCGGCTCCACTTGTCCACAGCAGTGCGTGGGATGTAAGCCAGTGCTGCGTCGTCCGCGGCGGCGGCTCGCGAGTGGCGGGGGTTGTTGGGTCCCGACGCGTCATCATCGGCAGTGGTGTCAAGCCTGAGGAACAGAACAGTCGTGGCCGCAATAAAGAGAATCAACAGCAAGGCAACTCGCTTCAGCTTACGCCTCATCGTCGGCAGTTTCGGATTCGCCATGGTCGCTTTTCTTGAGAGAGGCTAGGCAAAATGAAAGGGGCGGAGTGAGTGTAGGGGCATGAGAGAATTCTTCTCAGTTTTGTTTTGTTTTTCCAGCCATTTAGCAGATAAATTCTATGGACCGCACTTGGCACGGCAACGCGTGCCCCCGGACACCATGGGGCTGTAATTTGACCCGGCAACACGCGGCTGGCTTGGGCGCTGGTGGATGCCGCCGGCCCTGTGCCAAAAACAGCGCCATGAGGGAAACATTGCTGGCTCTTTGCTTCCCCGACAATACTGGGTCCAATTGGCCGTGGTGGCACGCTGGGGCGGCCGGCATTGCCAGTGCGTACGGCTACCGGCGGCATCCACCGCAAAAAAAGCCCTCCGCGAGAGCACGCGCCAACCGAAGACGCCACCAGAAGCGGAGCGCGCGTCCGCACTTCTCTCGGGTGGAACCAGCAGCGCCCCGCACAGCGCAGGGTGCCGCCGCAAGCCCGTCCCCCGTCCGTCGTCTGCTTCTCGTCCGCCCGCGCCGCAGCCGTGAAGGCCCCTCGCTGCTCGCGGCGCTCTGTGCGTCCAGGAGCCCACCACAGCAGCCCCTCCTCTCTCCAGTCGGCGGACTCGGCACAACACACTCGCATGGGCGCGGGGAGTGCGTGAAGGAGAGAGCCCCGCGGCGTCCTCCTGTGGGAAGCCGCACTCGCCAGCTCGCAGTCGCCCACACCGTGGCACGCTCCACCGGCGCGCAACCGTCACACGGCTCGTGCAGCAGCGCCGCCCCTACACTGTGCACACTGCTACAAGAGAACACGCGGGGAAGAAAAAAAGGGGAAGCCGCGCCATCAACAAGCAAGGGGCGGTGGGCCGTTGGCTTTGTCGTGCCCACGGGCGCACCAGCGGCGGGGAGGGCGTCACGGCACGCACTCTCCCACACACGCCGGGAGCCTCACCACCAGCACTGGCGGCAGTCGCACCGTGAGGCGCTCCGTTCACAAAGACACCACACGAACGCACGAGAAGACAGCCCCAAGTCCTCCCAACCACAAGCACCCACCGCGAGATGAGGGCTCAGGCGTGGAAAAGGCCGGAGCAAAAAAAGAAACAACAAATCCCATCCATCCCCCAACCGCAAATAAACGGTATAATAATATGAGAACAAAACAAAACCATATACATTGTTCATTGGTGGCCCGGCCCGCACACTCACATCCACGCCACGTGCTCCCAGCGGAGGCTCGTCAGCAGCCCAACACTACGGGCGCCCACCGCCTCCACCACAGCGCTCCGCACGCAAGTCAAGGGCAGGGAGTGGCACGCTCCACAGGGGCACGGAGCGGTCAATGACACATTTCACGTCATTCGGCCGCAAAGTACATAGAAAATCAACTGGGGCACACCAAATAATTATACAATACATTCAGAGTAAATAAAAAGGCATCTCCTTCATATATCAATCACAAGAGGGGTATATCACGTCCTCTGAGACCCGTGACACACGGGCGGCAGGCGATGTGTCGTTGCCGAAGCGCGCCATCAGCGCAGCGTAGTCGTCCTCCCGCACGTGATGGACACCCATCGAGGTCGGCAACACCTGTGAGTGCCCCGTGCCATTACGGGCATCATGGAAATGACACGGCAGCACCTTGACGTATATCATTGGCTGGTAATTTATTACCCTCTCAAGAACCCACCCGACCATCACATCCTCGTGCTGCATATGAATTGAAATAAACTCTTCCTCACTTTCCTTGCTGTACGGTAGGTACGCCAGGCGCCGCAGCGGCTTGTACGAAACCAACGCCTCCGCCACATCCCTCGACAAGGTGTAGCACCAGCCAATCATAAATTTTGCACCTACGGAACGACCCTTCACCCATAATGCTGATCCTCCATGGATGCCCATGTAGATCCCTCGGCGCGGCAGGAGGCGCAGGTGAGCAACAAACAGCGGCACACGAAGAAACATGTCGTCATCGCCCTTAGCGATGTACCCCGCTGTCGGGAACAGGCGAACCGCAAGGTCAAACCACATGTACGTCTTGCGCGTCATACCTATCTCCGCCTCATCGCCCCAGGAGCCACCGCCACAAATCTTTTTCTTCGTCGTCACACGGCCCTCTTTCATTGGCAGCGCAACCACATCGTTCCACTGCGCCGCCTCCTCCAGCAGCGCGGCAGAGTAGTTGTAGCCGTGCGACGGGTGTCGCCCAAGAACATACAGCACGAGCATCGCACCGGTGAAGTCGTTCGCTCTCGTCGCCACACCGGGGAACCGCCAGCAAGTCGTCCGCTGCAGGTTGCGTCGTGTTCGCCTCTCTTCGTTGTCCGGGGAGGGAATGCCCAGCACAACAAGGTACTCCCGCCGGCTCCACTTGTCCACAACACTGCGTGGGATGTAAGCCAGTGCTGCGTCGTCCGCGGCGGCGGCTCGCGAGTGGCGGGGGTTGTTGGGTCCCGACGCGTCATCATCGGCAGTGGTGTCAAGCCTGAGGAACAGAACAGTCGTGGCCGCAATAAAGAGAATCAACAGCAAAGCAACTCGCTTCAGCTTACGCCTCAGCTTACGCTTCATCGTCGGCAGTTTCGGATTCGCCATAGTCGTTTTTCTTGAGAGAGGCTAGGCAAAATGAAAGGGGCAAAGAGTGTGTAGGGGCATGAGAGAATTCTTCTCAGTTTTGTTTTGTTTTTCCAGCCATTTAGCAGATAAATTCTATGGACCGCACTTGGCACGGCAACGCGTGCCCCCGGACACCATGGGGCTGTAATTTGACCCGGCAACACGCGGCTGGCTTGGGCGCTGGTGGATGCCGCCGGCCCTGTGCCAAAAACAGCGCCATGAGGGAAACATTGCTGGCTCTTTGCTTCCCCGACAATACTGGGTCCAATTGGCCGTGGTGGCACGCTGGGGCGGCCGGCATTGCCAGGAGAAGGGTCTCCAGTTGGGCTCTTCGCTTTGTCCTGGAGGACCTGGATCGTGTGTCTCCCGGTCCGCCCACACGACCGGGGTGTGGAGGTGACTGGCTGTGGTTCCCCTCTCCGTCAGGCCTGGCAATTGACCGTGATACGCGCGGTGCCGCCTTCCGCAGGTATTTCCCACCACGGCCCCTTCGTCAGACACTTTACCCCCACAAGAATGCCGCTAGCATTTGCGGGATTTACGCCTATGCATTGGCAGCGTGGCAGCGACCAAATCCCGGCGCGGCAGCGACGGAGGTCCGGAGCGCTGCGCTGCGGAATGGTTGGCTTTCGGCCTCCCGAAAAGTCGCGCCCGCGTCCCTCGGTGGCGGGCCCCTGGCGCCACGATGGGGTATTCAAACGCGGAACAATCAGGGACCGAGCGTCGCGGAAAACGGCCGACGCCAACATTGCGATGGGAAAACTCTGCGTATACTCCGCTCTCCGGATCCGCTGGCTCCAAAAAAAAAAAAAAAAAGCATGGAGCGGGAACCGAGGAAGTGAAGAGGATTTACTTCACAAAGATGCTGGCGCAGTTTCTTTTCAAGGTGGAACCGCTCTGCGCCCAACATTGCCTCCGCGCGGCGAGAAAACGCAAAGCCCTTCGCAAATGCGACGGAGCTTAGATGCTCCTGGTATGTGTCTTCTCACTCCCATGTCCTCATTCATTGGTTTGTTCTTTTACTTATTCTCGGCAACAACAGATTGACGTGCCACCGCGCTTTCCCGGTGCGGCTGTGTGGCGTGGTTGTGTTTTGCGTCCTTCGCTGCGGCTCCCTCTCCGGGGGCCGGGGCTCCCTTTCATATCTCCACTTGGTGTGAGGCGGAAGTGCTTGGCGATGGCGGTCAGCGTTCTTGTGCTGTGGGTCATCGCCATGACACCGAATTATTCGTTTGTCAGGCCTTAGATCGGGCAAATTCTTTACGAGAAAGCGTCAGCAGGGTTGTTTCTGCGCACGTGCAGCTCCGGCAACAAGGTTTTAAGCACGCGCAAGGAAGAGCCAGTTTGCAAAGCAAGCGACGAAGACCTCAGGCATTTACAAGAATAGAAGACACGACAAAAAGCCAACATGGTGGAAAATAGCAATAAGAATCCCCACGCTTCAGGGAAAACAAGTATGGCTGCGCAATAAACAACAAAGCACGAAAGCCCGCATCGGCCAAACGCAATGGAACTTGTTTTTTTATATACGTGCAATGAGTATTTATCGTGTCGAGGTGGCGTTTCCCACCCGGTAGGTGTCCTTCATGCCTTGCCCACGCCGCCAACAGTCTGGGAGCTCCTGTAAAAACCACCTGCTCCTCAAAGGGAGAAGAAGAAGAAGAAAGCACAGGATAGTAAAAACAGTGTCAAAAACACCAATCCCACACGCACAAAGAGCGTGCAGGTAAACGTTGGGGAAAATGGACCCATCGCCCTTTTCCCCACGGCCACCGCTTGCAAAACAAGCGGAGAAAGAAGAAAGGGAAAAAAAAAAAAAAGAGGCCACTCACAGCGGAGCAAACTACACACAAATAGACGCCAAAGGAATTTAAAAAAAAAAAACAAAAAAAAACACTAATAAAACGTATATGTAGATGAACGCAAAGAAAAAATATATTTTTTTTTTTCTTTTTTTTTTTTCCTTTCTTCTTCTTCTTTCTTCTTGTTTATGTTCTTTTTTCCGTTTTTGTTTGTTTTCTCTTTTTTCTCTTTTCTCTTTTTTTTTTTTTTTTTTTTTTTTTTTTGCTGCATCCCCCGCAACGTTTCATTCGTTGAAAAAAA